GTGCAGTCTGTAACAGCATGAGCACGACCACATTTTATGCACCTCTTGTTCTCAATAATCCACTTACGGATCTGCTCAGGAGTGAAAGTCTGGAAAGTAGCGCACTGACTTAAAAAATGTTCAGAGCTTTCACAATATGGACAATATGGTTGCACTTTACCTCTTTTCTTGCCTGAGGTGAACGCTTTAGGTCCTGGTTCTGTGCTCTTCATCTGTGAGGCAGCTTTGGCACCATGGAGGATAGTGGCTGGTCGGGTGAAGCGTGTTGGCTTTGCCCGGCTCTCAGGATTTCGTTTGTTGGGTGGTTCAGTATGACCCTGGCACCATGCTTCGTACTGGAGCCACTTAGAGAATTCAGGTAGTGTATACACTGAATCAGACTGATAATATAGGTGTCTGCGGAAGTCTGCACACAACTCTGGAGGTAGTTTACCCAGCAGTCTGGCGACGTGGGAGCCACATTTTAATTCCACTTCTCCCTCTACGCCAAGGGTTTCCAGCATCCCAACAAGTGCTCTGATCTGCAGGGCGAACCTTTGAAATGCCTCATGATCCCCTCGCTTGATGTCAGGAGCATCCATGACCTGTGCTATTCTTTTAAGTGCTAACTGATGCGGCTGACCAAACCTCTCATTTAAGGCTGTCATTGTGTCAGAGTATGGAGTGGTAGAGTTCAGGTAAGAGTCAGCGATAAGGGAGGCTTCCTCTAATTTAAGATGGTCGACCAATATTTGGTATTTGAAGAGCTCGGTAGCACCTGATGGCAGTAGGTTCTCCAATGACATCTTCAGCCTGGCGAATTCCGCAGGGTCTCGATGAATCAACATGGGAATTCGTGGCTTAGGGCCTAGATAGACTTTCTCCTGTGCTGGAAGCGATGAGGGAAAGATCTCATAAGGTGAGGGTTGTGGCTGCTTGTATGGCATTTCTGGGTGTGTAAGCCATGGTTCAGTCTGTTTCATTGATTGTGGAACATACACGGATTGTTGCTGAGGTGGCGAAGGAACGACCAGCCAGGGTGCAGAATGAGGCGTTAAATATGGAGCATGGGTTGGAGGGCAGGTGAGGGATTGATACGGTGAACTGCCCTGACCCTGTGTATTGTGCGGCATGAGGCTTGACCTGATATCCCCTCTGTGAGGCCTGAATGAATGATTATGGAATGAGTTTTCACTGACTGGAGCATACCGTCCATAGTAGGGCTGTGCTACTGCTCTCTCGGCGGCTAGTTTCACTGGGTTTGAATAACTAACAGAAGTAGCGTAAGTGACTGGGAATTCACGCTCTTTCCTAGCTATGTAAGGGACATCATCACATACCGGAGGTGGTGGTTCAGGCCATGACTCATCCTCCTGAGGACCTTCTACTGTCGTTATAAGTCTCTGTGGTGTTAGGCGGGTAACTGAATGGGACTCAACCAAGGACACCGGTGATACTTGGGACCGGAGTGGTGAGATTTGCGATGATGAAGAGAAGGAAACTGGTGATGAGAAGTGAGCAGGGTGTGAAAGTGGCTGCCTTGTTACAGGAAAAAAGGCTCGGCCGTCTTCCAGTAATAGGTGAGTATCTGGACTTGGGGTTTCCTCCAAAGTCCCACGGCATTTAGATAATACATGCTGGCGCACTCGATCGCGTAAACTTTGCATGAGCTTAGTGTCTTGGCCAAGCTGAGCTTGAATGTCCTCTAATTCAGTAAAAAAGGCTCCCCACTCATCTCTTGCTACATACCGACTTCCAGATCTGGCCGATGCTGGTCCCGCTGAGTACATCATTCTAGCAGTTTCATCACTCTCTGCATCGTACTCCTTTTCGAGTCTAAATGTAGTCTGTGCTGCAGTATCTTCTGTATAAGAGGAAGTCAGTTCTTTGTGGCCTGTTATATTCACTTGGTAGTCTGAAAAATAGGTTGGCAGTCTGACTTGCCGTTTTGGCCGCACAGATTCTGAAAGGGCTTCACTCATTTCTTTGGAAGTAGCCATCCTTAACCAAGGTAAGCACTGATATCCGGCTCGAAGGACCAATATTTGAGAGAAAGGACCACAGGTGCTTAGGAGGCTATAGTTCTCGCCCTGGAGCGTCGGTCAGAACGCAGGACAGGAGGCAGGAATCAGATTGAACATTTTACTCAACTTTCTTTGGCAGCACAGACATACATTAGACAGTGATTACAGGTGCAGATTTAACTGTAGTTGCCTCTCAGGTTATGTTAATGTAAATGGTAGGTTGACATTATGTACTTGAGTATATGTGTGTAGCTGAAAATAAACAAAACAGTAATAAATGTTACATATACTGTATAAACTAACATTATTGATGAAGTCTATCAGCATTATATCTAGCACAATACACCAGCTAAACCAGGTGACTAATAACTCGTGAGTCACCATTCCTTAACGTAATCTGTACAGAACAAATAATGTAAATGTAATGATATAGCCTATCTATTTGAATAATACAAACACAACACTTAAATCAGTTACTAACAACATGCATAAGCATTCTACAATGACGTTCATTCTTTGCTAACTACACGGCATGACTCGTCATTTCTCTCGAGTGGATTTACGACCCAAATACTCGAGTATTTCTAGATATTCACATATATAATCGATCCTAAACAAGTAAAGGATAAATAAAACTCACTTTTCTCATAAGGACGTACACAGTTATTAATGTTCAACACAAACACTGCACCGCGACTTCTTGAACAGTCTTGCTGTGGAGAATCCAGCTGTTTGTATCACGCGCGTTTCTCACGCGCATTTCTCGTGCGCAATCACTTCCAGCGCATCCGCTAATGGCCACTAGATGGCGTCTTTGCGCTACCTTTGTAACAGTGTTACTCCCTAAAAAAGGAACTAATTTTGTTATTAGTTAGGGCCTACTTTTATGGAAAGTAGCCTAATGCATTACTTACTTTTGCATTACTTTTTTCATGTGGGCTGGCCTTTCTTAAAACACACACATACACACACAAAAGTTGTATTTTTTGGCAAATGGCCCTTTCTCACCAAAAGTGAAATGAATAAGCCCCAGGCTAAGGGAAATGTGAATTCATGCCTGTAAAAGGCACAGCTCAAACAAACCGCTTAAAGGATTAGTTCACTTTTAAAAAAACTTTTGCTGATAATTTACTCACCCCCATGTCATCCAAGATGTCCATGTCTTTCTTTCTTCAGTCGAAAAGAAATTAATGTTTTTGATGAAAACATTCCAGCATTTTTCTCCATATAATGCACTTTGCTGGGCACCAAACGGTTCAAGGTCTAAATGACCGTTTCAGTGCAGCTTCAAAAGGCTTTAAACGATACCAGACGATGAATAAGGTTCTTATCTAGCGAAACGATCGGTCATTTCAAAAATAAATTAAAAAGTTAAAGTTTTATAGGCACAAATGCTCGCCTTGCGAACTCTCCTGTTCAAACTCGTTCATTTTGATGAACGAGTCAATGACTCGAAAAAAGATTCGTTCATTTTGATGAACGAGTTCGAACAGGAGAGTTCGCAAGGCGAGCATTTGTGCCTATAAAACTTTAACTTTTTAATTTATTTTTGAAAGGACCGATCGTTTCGCTAGATAAGACCCTTATTTATCGTCTGGTATCGTTTAAAGCCTTATGAAGCTGCACTGAAACGGTCATTAAGACCTTGATCCGTTTGGTGCCCAGCAAAGTGCATTATATGGAGAAAAATCCTGGAATGTTTTCATCAAAAACATTAATTTCTTTTCGACTGAAGAAAGAAAGACATGGACATCTTGGATGACATGGGGGTGAGTAAATTATCAGCAAAAGTTTTTTTTAAAGTGAACTAATTAATCCTTTAAGCTGTGCTGCCATTCTGGATTGTAGAAGAATAGGACCCAGTTGAAGAACGTTCAACACTCCTACTTCAGCAATAATAGGCTAATAAAAAAATAAACACAAATGTGATGTTTAACTTAAGTAATTTTTGCTTAGGCCTATTAGTATTCAAAATGTCTGTAGCAAAGACATTGGTCAATAAAGTGAGATTAAATACATAAAGTAGCCTATATTTGTGTTATTTAACATATTTAATCATTGCCGGTTTGTGAATATTCTGAGTTTGCATTTTACTGTTTTTATTCATTTTGAGGAATACTGAATCTGTTTTTGTGCAAGTGAGCTGAGTAAATGCATGCTCACAGTTAGTCCATCATGTTTAAACACCTCTGTAGGCTACTCCTCTCAACATGGAGACAGGAGAGCTGTAGCACATATGTATTGTGTTTTGCAAATATAAATAAATGAGCCTAGATAATATTTCACAAATAAATACAATATATGTGTTACTCCATTGCATTTTCGCTCAAATGGACCTTTGTAGGCCTACTTGCACATTGCTTTCTGTTTGTTTGCGAGTCGAGTTTTCCTTTGCAAAGCAGATCGAGTTTGTTTGCAAAATTCTGGATTTGTTTGTTTAATTATGGCACAATATTTACTCCATAGTTCGGGTCGTATAGGCTACTACTCATTACTACTGCGGAGTAGCCCAGTACCTGCGTGACTCGTCATAGACATAAACAAAGAGAAGTAGCTCCGGCTACAATGTTCTTCCGCAAGAGTCGCATGCAGTTCTGTTTAACTGTTTAACTGTTTAACTGTTTTAACATGCAGTTCTGTTTAACTGTTTAACTGTTTAACTGTTTTACTACCCAGGGTGGAGCTAGAAGGTCCAACCACACCCCAAACCTACCCAAACTCTATCCCTCCTCCTCAGCCCATTAGATCCACAGAGGTGGAGCTGGATTAGGTCAAGCTCAACACATGACGTCCAGAGAGGTGGAGCTGGACGTCATTTGGCTCTGCAGTGAACTGTTACCACTTGGGTTTTAGTGGCACATGCCACTCTCTGCTGGCACATGCAAATGAAAACCGGATGTACCTCCTCTAAACATCATGTGCCAAAGGCTTTCTGTGCATAAGATGCCATATCAGTTAAAGTTAATACCGCTACTGGATAGAGCTTCCTGATGTGACAACGTTTGTTTGCGTCCTCTACAGTTCATTCCGTTGTTGCAGCTGCTCGTCTTGCAACTTGATGTGTAACGTTAAGTTGGTTTAGCGATTAACTTTTGGGAACTTTGTGATCGCGGTGGCAAGATCTTGGTGTTGCTTAGAAGTCGAGCATTCATGGTTTACCAATGCAGTTAATTCAGGAGTTTTAATTTGAGTGTTATGTGCCTTTATCTCACTTATGGTCGTGTCGTGTTTTTGTTTGATTGCTATCGCATCGAGTTTCTGAATAAAAAACTAAACTTAGATTCTTCAGAGTTTACTTCTGTCCGTCGTAAAGGTGAAACTGAAAGATGTCTTCTAAGATTCTTCTGACTAATCTACGAACTACCGCGAGCTTCTACAAAACACTGCATTTTCTGCAGAGACCATGGACTCCTTTCGTAGCTTCTCAACAAAGCTGGTAAGGCATCATAAAAACATGCATCTTTTATGATTTATCCGGTGGAAGATGTCAATGTGGCAGACTGCTTTTTATAGATATGCTTTTGGAATTGTGTCTCCATGTTCTTGGAAATTCGAAAAATAACCCAGACTTCCAATGGATACATCAGTTTCTGTAGTAGCTAGTTATGTAATGTTTTCATTAACCCTTTAACCGACCCTACAAAGAAATAGCCTACTCGTGGGAAATATTATTTATCTAAAAAAACAACTTTCTCTCGTGACTGAATAACATATTCTTCGACTGAATAAACCCCCACGCCCACCCTAAACCAGCCTCAAATGCTTAGCTGATTTAATGGTCTCACACTCACAGACTTGTGCTAACTTGTTTGGCATGGTCTAGTTTTTGAATGCCTTTTTTTAACGCTCATTTGCCGATTAGTAGAGGCTCTCAAACTGAACAGACATTGCCATTTGCCGTTCTAAATAGATGGTCAGTAAGCTTATTTTTTTTCCCAATATATTTTTTAAATACATTTTCTTTAATTACTTTTATTTAGCAAGGATACTTTAAATTGATCAAAAGTGACAGTAGACATTCATAATGATAATTTTTTTAAAAAATAAATGCTGTTCTTTATCACCAAAAATGTATGTATCATGCTTAGTCAAAAATATTAAGCAGCGCAATCAGTGTTTCTTGAGCACTGAATCAGATGTCAAATGTTTTAAAATCTAAAACAGTTATTTATTATATTGTATATAATAAAGTATCATATTTATTATATTATATAACCGTATTTTAAATTCTAATAATTGTAAATTGTAATATTTAAAGGGATGGTTCACCCAAAAATGAAAATTAGCCCATGATTTACTCACCCTTAAGTAGTCATCCTATATGACATTCTTCTTTCAGACGAATACAATCGGAGTTATATTACAAAAATGTCCTGGCTCTTCCAAGCTTTATAATGGCAGTGAATGACTGTTTCTGTTTTAAAGCCCATAAATGTGCATCTATCCATCATAAAAGTGCTCCACACGGCTCTGGGGGGTTAATAAAGGCCTTCTGAAGCGAAGCAATGCATTTGTGTAAGAAAAATATCCATATTTAAAACTTTATAAAGTAAAATAACTAGCTTCCGACCAAACGAACACACGGATTCGACTTAAGTCTAAAGCGCAACGTAAGCAGGCAATGCAACGTACTGCTGATATTTACACTACACCATGACGCACTACGCTACTTCTGACGTCACAAGTTGTGAATTTAGGCGCAGGTAGACTGTATGGCCGGAAGCTAGAATCTTACTTTGTAACGTGTTAAATATGTATATTTTTCTTACACAAATAAAAAAAATTCTATTTTACAGACTTTGTGTCACTACATTGAACTACTATGTACACTCACCTAAAGGATTATTAGGAACACCTGTTCAATTTCTCATTAATACAATTATCTAATCAACCAATCACATGGCAGTTGCTTCAATGCATTTATGGGTGTGGTCCTGGTCAAGACAATCTCCTGAACTCCAAACTGAATGTCAGAATGGGAAAGAAAGGTGGTTTAAGCAATTTTGAGCGTGGCATGGTTGTTGGTGCCAGACGGGCCAGTCTGAGTATTTCACAATCTGCTCAGTTACTGGGATTTTCACGCACAACCATTTCTAGGGTTTACAAAGAATGGTGTGAAAAGGGAAAAACATCCAGTATGCAGCAGTCCTGTGGGCGAAAATGCCTTGTTGATGCTAGAGGTCAGAGGAGAATGGGCCGACTGATTCAAGCTGATAGAAGAGCAACTTTGACTGAAATAACCACTCGTTACAACCGAGGTATGCAGCAAAGCATTTGTGAAGCCACAACACGCACAACCTTGAGGCGGATGGGCTACAACAGCAGAAGACCCCACCGGGTACCACTCATCTCCACTACAAATAGGAAAAAGAGGCTACAATTTGCAAGAGCTCACCAAAATTGGACAGTTGAAGACTGGAAAAATGTTGCCTGGTCTGATGAGTCTCGATTTCTGTTGAGACATTCAGATGGTAGAGTCAGAATTTGGCGTAAACAGAATGAGAACATGGATCCATCATGCCTTGTTACCACTGTGCAGGCTGGTGGTGGTGGTGTAATGGTGTGGGGGATGTTTTCTTGGCACACTTTAGGCCCCTTAGTGCCAATTGGGCATCGTTTAAATGCCACGGCCTACCTAAGCATTGTTTCTGACCATGTCCATCCCTTTATGGCCACCATGTACCCATCCTCTGATGGCTACTTCCAGCAGGATAATGCACCATGTCACAAAGCTCGAATCATTTCAAATTGGTTTCTTGAACATGACAATGAGTTCACTGTACTAAAATGGCCCCCACAGTCACCCGATTTCAACCCAATAGAGCATCTTTGGGATGTGGTGGAACGGGAGCTTCGTGCCCTGGATGTGCATCCCACAAATCTCCATCAACTGCAAGATGCTATCCTATCAATATGGGCAAACATTTCTAAAGAATGCTTTCAGCACCTTGTTGAATCAATGCAACGTAGAATTAAGGCAGTTCTGAAGGCGAAAGGGGGTCAAACACAACACAGTATTAGTATGGTGTTCCTAATAATCCTTTAGGTGAGTGTATATTAATGTTGAATATAATGTATCATAATGCATTTTTGTGGGTCTTGATCATGCCAAATGTCTTATGTTACCAGTAAAAAGTGGCCTACATTATTTAAAATCTATCTAGTAGTCAGTGACAAGAGTACAAGCATATTCGTCTGAAATAATTCTGTATTTTCAGCTTCAGAATCATGAATATTTTTTTCTGGTGTCCCCATTGTCCTGTGCATTGGGTTACCACCACGAATTCTAAGGCAATTCATTTCCACCCGCAATGTAATACCAATTTGGCATTTTAATCAACAGTAAATTTTTTGTTAACCTTTTACCATATGTTTTGGAGTATCGCAATAATATTGTATCGTGCATGGGTTCAGTATCGTGAAATGTATCGAATCGTGCCATGAGGGTATCGTTACATCCCTAATATATATATTTTTTTACTATATTGTTGATCAAATAAATGCAGCCTTGGTGAGCAAATCAGACTTCCTTCAATGTAAGATTATTTTATAATTTTGTTATTTTGGACCAGTAGGAATCAGCTTTATGTGCTAATTTCATCTGTGATCCTGGATCTTAAAATGACAGATCAACTGTTAGCAGGCTAAAAAAAGCATTAACAAAGACCACCTTCTTGGTTCTTTAAAGTGAGAAATATTGCAGCAGCTGACATCCCTTATTTCACCTTTTCCTTACATAAAATCAATGTTGTCAGGATGTTTTTTTAGCTTCTGCTCTCCCTTCAGGATGAACTTCACCAGACCCAAAGACATACTAAAAGTAGTCGCAGTTTACAAACCCCAATTTCCCCCCCCACCGGTTTTGTATGTATTTGGTTCCCGTTCAGATGTCTCTCTGCATCTCTTATAAACACACACTCTCCTCTCCCCTCTTTTTTTAGTGCCATTCATGTGGATAACCCACCCAGCACCCCAACCCTGACAACCAGTTATGTCCATGGCATCTCCTCCCATCCGCTGCTCTCTATTACTGTGGACCAGTGTCTTCGAGCCTCAGCGGAGCGCTACCCTGACCGGGAAGCTTTGGTTTTTGTGCAGGATGGGATACGCAAGACTTTTGCTCAGTTCTACCAAGACGTGAGTGGTTTTGCTTCTGGTTTTTCTACAGAGGACTGGTTAGAAAAGTGATGCTAACCACAGTGCTTCCCATTTTATACCCCTCAGTCGTGGGAGAGAGGAAAACCACAATGCCGCCACTGTCAAAAGTGCAGTGTGTGGAATGAAGGATCTAGGCCAAATCCTTATATATATATATATATATATATATAAGGATTTGGCCTAGATCCTTTTTGGCCTATATATATACACTCCTCCTGATACCCAGCAATGGAGTAATGGAGAAACCCAGTTTTTCCTCTGTAGTGGACACTATATTTTAGCAAATTTATAATTTTTAAGTCTGGATGTCCTGTAAAGAGCAAATTCAGGGCTTTGCAGAGATGCCAAATGTTTGGAGATGTAACCATGACAACCCCCTCTCCTTGGTCTTTAAAAATTACTGAATGAAACAGGGGATTGCTTTCAAACCTCAGAGGACACCAGGACTAACGTCATGGAATATCAGGCATGTCGGAGACACAACAAATGAATAGGGCCATACATTATATATCAATATTCTTATGAAATATGAGAGATTCTTATGAAAATATTCCCAATTATTACACATGTTTTTTCATTTCATGTTGCCCCAAGAACAGATTAATATGCAAATTATGCAAATGTTTACATGCATATTGCATAAAGTAAAATGGTATATCAAATCATTGTTATATCTTTCATAACATAGTTGAGATTACGTTTAGATAAAAAAAAAATATTGAAACCTAAAAATTGATTGGTGAATGAAAAAAAAACGAAAATATTGTTTTTGCCTATTCATGTCATTTCATGTCTTTTAATTTTCTTAATAAATAGGTCCTGGTGTCCGCTACAGAGAACATAGCATAACATTAGGATAAAATATCTTTTTTCAAAAATGTCTTTATTCAATTTGTTTCTTATGCGCCAAACAATGTAATGACCTAAAAAACAAACAAATTCACGCACACAAAAGATCTGGTTCTAAGGAGGATAAATATAAAAAATATACACATTCCTATGCAGCCCTTTATTAATAAGACCTAAATAAGCTTTTACCACAGATTCCAAATTCAGTACTGGGAGAAGATGTGGTTTCCATTTTTTTGCCCACACACCCATTTTACTTTGTTTGTGTACAGCCTGTCCTTTAAAGTCTCCCTGTAGTCAATGATTTTATCCATTAAAACTCATCTTTACACCCTTGCTTCAATTGGTAAACGCAGAACCATGAATATGCAAATTAGCCCCGCCTCCACTCACTCACACCAGCTCAGAGATCCACTCGCTCAACTTTACTCTAGTAAACGCACCACAATGGTATCTCTCTTTACCTCATCGGACACATACCGGTAATTGATATGATAATGATTAGCCTTTTGCTCGACTACGTTATCAAACAGCTAATAATGTGTAAATGTTTCACAAACCATGTTATCCTTCGCCATCTCAGTCTGCCTTCTAAAAATAAGTATCCTTAGAAAATTATTTGAACATCATAGAACGTCAGTGGAGAAAGGCATATAGTTAATTATAACATCGTAATTCACCTGCTACATTGCTAAGTGTACCCGATTTTTCAAATCAACAAAAAATATACGTTTGTGACGTCAGAAACACGATTTCAAACCGTGTTTTTGAGACTATCTTATGTTCACAGCAGTTTTAAGGAGCAAATACTCAGCAAAGGTGTTGACATGAAGTTGCACATAGTTTGTTTAATATTTGTATAATATTGCACAAGCATATTAAAAACACCACATAGACCTATAAACAACATTTAAAATGTGATTTTCACCACAGGGGGTCTTTAAATATGTAAATAAAGCACAGTGAAATCAGTCATTGGCATGATACAATGTTATTACGGTATTCAAATAGTTTGATTGTAAACATGACCAAGAAAACACGTTAACTTACTATCGAGGTGATTATTAATACATATTCCACACTGAACCCAATATTTTCTTCTAAATTGACTGATATGAGCTATCTGGCACAGATAGGTGCTTCACGTGTGGCTGCTGTCTTCCATAATGAGAGCAGGAGTGGTTTAAAGTGTATCAATGTGACAAAGTTAAACATTTACAGAAAAGCAATAATATATCACAAAGCATGAACGTTTAGCACAAACTGGTGCCATTAGTCTTGACACTAATGTGGAATATCCTTTTTTTGTGCACTGGAACAATCCTTCATAAAACGCATTAAACTTTAGTTTACAAAGACGTGAAACTCACCGAGTGGTCTGGGGTGTTCACTGATATGCTCACACAAAAATCGGGGGAGAGAGGGGGTGTAACCACAGAAACCGAAAATTCTCGGGCCAGCAGCATGTGTCCAAATTTTAATCTTAACCGTTCTATTTAATCAGAAACGATCTTAAAACAGGGCTTTGAGTGTAAAATACCGAACTTGTTCTTTAATGCACGCTAAAGAGACAACATAGCTCCTCCAGTTCCAATGTTTGGGTAAATAATATTTAAAGAAACAAAATAATTACATAGAAATGTATAAATAAACAGACAAAAAAACAATCCCTTAGAACAAACATAATATAAATTTTGCATACAAAAACTAAAATAAACTAGAACCATTCAACTGAAATGTTCATTCAGTGTGGCCTTAGCCTTCACACCCATCCAAATTGAATATTGTTTCCATCATGCTTCTTTCCCGAGGACAAAAATATCTGGGTGAAAGACATTTACATGTGTTCATTTACAGAGGTTTTACTCAAATGAGGAACATAACAAACTATTTTCCTATAATATTTGCATTATACATTGCCAAGGGTCTGATTTTATTGATTGTATAAAGGGCAAATCTGCAAGAGTGGGGTGACAGCTTGTCACATAACATGTAACTCGTGTCATGTGCCTTAGATTAACCATAAACTTGATTCTCTTTTATAATATGTGATGTAGTATTAAATTATTTATCTATTCTTAATCTAATGAACATTTATGTGGTAAACCCAATTACATTTAAAAAAAAAATTCAGGGCCAGTGTTAAAATGTGGTAGTATTTTGATTTCAGGTGGAACAGACTGCTGCAGGTCTACTGGCTGTCGGGCTGAAAAGGGGTGATCGCTTAGGGATGTGGGGACCGAACATCTATGAATGGATACTGATGCAGTTTGCCACAGCTAAAGCAGGGATCATTTTGGTGAGTGTTTTTGTTGAGTCTTGTAATTTGCTTTATCTGAGGATTTGTCAATGGCTGGTCTCTCACGTGCTCAAGTTTATTGGGATTTTACAGGTTTCAGTGAACCCGGCTTATCAACTGCAAGAGGTAGAATTTGCACTCAGAAAGGTAAGTTAATGTTTATACATGCAAAAAAGAACAACTAACAGGGGTATGTCCCTAACTACAGGACTGGTTTGGGTATACTTTCACTCAAACAAGTTTTTTCTTTTTTTTTTCTTGGAAGCCTGTTTCAGAGTTTTATATGGAAGTAAGTTTAAAAGTAAATAGTCACATTTTATAAATATATAACTCAAAAATTGAGAAATAAAGTTGCCATTACAAATTTCTTTTTTTTTTAAATTATGCAAAGTCACAATTCTGAAAAATAAAGTGGCCATTGAGAGATGTACAGACACATTATGAGATATAAAGTCCTAATTATGAGAAATACAAGGACTTTTACCCTTTTTTACTCTGAGGCAGAAACAAGCTTAGTTTTAGTCTCAACTACATATAAGAAAACCTTGCACATTATTAATGGCTTAATGCTTCTTTTAGGTACAGTGCAGTGCAATAGTTTGTCCGACTCAATTCAAGACCCAAAAGTACTGTGACATGTTAAGGCAGCTTTGTCCAGAGATGGAGACCGCTTCACCTGGAGGAATCAAGAGTTCAAGGTACAAGTGATGTAATAAAAGGAAGATATACATAATCATTATTAAGGGCCAGAGGCTGACTGAGTTACTTTTTTTTTTCTTTCTTTTTTCTTCAGACTACCAGACCTACACACTGTGATCGTGACTGACAGTCAGGAGCCAGGAACTTTCCACTTAAAAGATCTGATGCAGGCAGGAAGCAGCCAACATCATCAACAACTACAAGACCTGCAGAAGAAACTTGTTTGTGATGACCCCATAAACATTCAGTTTACATCGGTACTCTCCATATTTTTAATTTGTATATATCTCTATTAAAGCTGCAGTGTGTAATTTCTGTGTCACCAAACATTATAGCAAAAATTATTATTATTTTCAGACAGATTACCTCAAACACATTATTGGTATTGTCATTGTCACGCCCCAAACGCACAGCATTGGTTGACCTAATGTTGCTGTGTTAGGCTTGTCAAGAGAAACATAGAGATTACACGTTTCAGATAAATTATCCTAGAAATGACCTACTTACTGTTGTCTCTGCATAAAAAGCAAGCATATTATGACATTAAAAAAATTATACACTTTAGCTTTAAGTCTTAGCCCAGTGAAGTCAAATGTATCAAAATAATTTTCTTTTTTTCGTTATGATTCTCAGGGAACAACTGGAAAGCCCAAAGGAGCCACTCTGTCTCATCACAACATTGTGAACAATGCTTATTTCCTCGGCATGCGCATAGGCTTCAACTGGAGGGTGGGTGCTTGTCATACGCTGAAAGAAGTGTTTGTTTCTATAAAACGTAGGATCTGTGTCTGGAAAATAGATCTTCAGATGATGTATATTGCAAAAATACAGTTCATTGTTTAGCATACTGATATTACAATACAGAACAGAACATATTTAGTTTAAATGATTCTCCATAAATGTTCATTCACAGTACATACAGTATGGGTAATTTTTTACCTTAATCTTCTTACAGAAAAACGTGCGAATTTGCTTGCCGGTGCCCCTGTATCATTGTTTTGGATCAGTGGGTGGTGGTATGATCATGGCTGTTCATGGTACCACATTGGTTTTCCCATCTACTGGTTATGATGGACATGCCAACCTGCTGGCGATAGAGAAAGAGAAGTATGGAGTCATGAATTCTCTTTAAATTAATCCTCAGATGCATGAATTGAAACTTTCCTTGTGAATTTTTTTTTAACCTCAAAAGAAGAATTGATGTGTTAGAGAATTGCGCATCTGTCCTTTGCATTAGAATATAATTCTAAACCTTCCAGAGATACTTGGTGCCTCTTTCTCTTTAGCCATTGAATTCATGTTGTCATAAATAAAAGATACAGGGACATATAAAGAGGACAGTCATGTAGAATTTGGGTCAAAGGTCATGTGTACATCATGCATATCTGGAATAACAGATCTGAGCTGTATTTATTTGATTCAATTGGCAGAAAATGTACTGTTTACACAGGTGCACGTTTGTCTACGGCACCCCTACTATGTTTATTGACATGCTGAGTCAGCCTGACCTGGCCCAGATTGATTTGTCATCAGTTGAGGGTGGTGAGTCAATCAAACTTTTTTTTAAATCTCAAAATCTACTGCTAAATGGAGGTTGTGATAGATTACATTAATATTATCAAGATTTCTGAGCAATCAAGCAGTACATCCTCCACTTTCATCAGGGTTCTGCTTAGTGTTGTTTTTGGCGGCCTGTTTTAATTTTAGTTTTAGTCTAGTCTTTGTGTCAAGCCGTCATTTTAGTTTTTATTAGTTTTAGTCACGTTCATACTCTTTTTAGTCGACGAAAACTGATGACATTTTAGTCTAGTTTTAGTCAATGAAAATTGTATTTTAGTCTCTTTTTAGTAATGCAATTCTGTTTAACCCAGTCAATAACCTAGTAGTATAGACGAAACCAAAATTTTCTTTTAGCCAAACCCATTTCAAACAATCTTATCTTCTTATAGTTATCGTATTATTGTTACCTTATAGACTCAAGAATACATCCATTCCAGACATGGAAGACGCTCTGATTTGAATTTACAACATATTTATTTTACCAACCAAACATGTTAGAAGTAGCCTACACACATGATGAAATGAAAGTTTTTCCAAATGTCATTTCTTCTTTTTCTCCCAAAGACAAATCCCTTTCTCTGTGTCAGACTTAACTTTGTTTGTTGTCGTTTATGCTAACGCCTGTTTCACACATACTCCGTTTGCAGTGCATATGTGGTGCGTATTTTTTCCCGCACCCATGTAGAGCCTATGGTTAGAGCGCTCACACCGCACGCGGATGCGGTCCGGCAATGCGCTCCAGGAGCAGTGCGTGCATAACAGCAGAGCAGAGATATACACAGTAACTCAACAACGCGACATAATGGATGTAGGCTAAAAATATTGATTTGAAATAAAAAATAGAGAATAAATGTTGTGATTGTGGTACAGCCGTAGATCAGTTGCGCACTGCAAACGCAACACATGTGAAAGCACAATAGCGCGTGCTGCTCCTGCATACACATTACACACCGCAACACGCACCGCATACGCACTACACCCGGGTACGTGTGAAACGAATCGGTTACCTAACGTAACCTCGGTTCTCTCTAGAAGAGGGAACGAGTATTGCGTAAGCTAGCTTACGCTGCGGGAAAGATTCATCTTTGCTGAGATATTGAAGCCAAAAAATTATTTCATAATTTGTATCCATTGACAACGCAGTTCCTCTGCGGCAGACCTAGAGCAGGCTAGCTAGCAGCTCATTGGTTCGCTCAGAGAGAACTGCTTAAGCCTATGGGAGAGCGGGGCTGAACCCGCTTCCAATGAGAGGCGCCCGCGCGCTCATTGCGTCATGGCCCGCCAGAATGGGCGTGGCTATGGTGTATATAACAGTCTCTCCCAGGCTTATATGTTGATTTATTTCAGCGTGAAGCGAAACGCTAGTAGCGCAAGCACGGCCGGGAACGCAATACTCGTTCCCTCTTCTAGAGAGAACCGAGGTTACGTTAGGTAACCGATTCGTTCTCTTACGAGAGGTTCTCTCGTATTGCGTAAGCTAACTTACGCTGCGGGAACACCTGGTCAACGCCGTGCGCGCTATGAATCCACTCATGAATCCCAGGGTGATACCGGGGGATTTTTAACGTGGAGTGAATGTATTATGAGGCCGGCAGAGCGGGCACATGAAGTGTATACATAAGCATGTATGATGAAGTGTATAAGCATTTAAGGAGAGCACAAGGGGCGAACCGGTTGTGTGAGGGACTCCCAGTAATGCAGCTTCTTAGGGAGCTGGTCGTTAGACAGCTAGTAATTTTGCCTGCAAGGCGGGAACTTCCAAGTTGTAAAATCTGACAAAAGTGGACGGGGAGGCCCATCCCGCGGCCACACAAATGTCATGAATGGAAATTCCACAGGACCATGCCCACGATGAGGCCATGCCTCTAGTGGAGTGCGCCCTGATGCCCAGAGGGCAGGGCAGGCATTTAGATGCGTAAGCAGAGGCGATAGCGTCTACTACCCATCTAGACAGTGTCTGTTTAGAGGCGGCCAGACCTTTGGTGCGCCCCCCAAACGACACGAAAAGCTGCTCAGCGCGTCTGAACGCGGCAGCGCGCGTAGTGTACAATCTCAGAGCCCGCACCGGGCAGAGGAGATTGGCGTCGCGCTCACTATCGGATGAAGGCAGAGCCGATAGGGAAATAATCTGAGCCCTGAACGGGGTACCAATCGCCTTCGGGACATAGCCATGTCTAGGTTTGAGAATGACAACAGAGTCATTCGGTCCAAACTCGAGACACGCGGCGCTGGATGAGAGCGCGTGAAGATCCCCCACGCGTTTTACTGAGGACAGAGCCGTCAGAAAAACGGTTTTGAGCGAGAGGTATTTTAGGTCCACAGACTCGAGCGGTTCGAACGGGGGTGCTTTCATAGCTTCGAGAACTATAGAAAGATCCCAGATAGGAACCGAGGGGGGGCGCGGAGGGTTCATCCTCTTAGCTACCCTGAGGTAGCGGATGACTAACTCGTCTTTGCCCAGGGACTGAGCGCGTCGGGGTTCAGAGAACGCCGCGACGGCTGCCACGTAAACCTTGAGAGTGGAGGGGGACCTGCCCTTGTCCAGCATCTCTTGAAGGAAAACAAGCAAAGACGGCACCTCGCATGACCGTGGGTCCAGATGTTTGTCGGTGCACCATTTTGAGAACACAGACCATTTAGACGCATAGAGCCTTCTCGTGGAAGGTGCTCTAGCCTGTATGATAGTGTTTCTTACTCCTTCTGGCAAATCGACGAATAGTCGTTGATCACCCATGCATGTAGCGCCCAGCGCCGTGGATGGGGGTGCCAGATCGTGCCGCGAGCTTGAGAGAGGAGATCTGCTCTGACTGGGATGGGCCACGGGGCTGTCTGCGACAGCTGAGTGAGCTCCGGAACCCAATTCTCACTCTCCCAACGCGGGGCTATGAGGAGCACCGAGTGGCGTGTGTCCCTGATCCTCTGAATTACCTGTGGAAGCAGAGCGATCGGAGGGAATGCATAGAGCGGGCGGCGAGGCCATTCCTGGGCTAGCGCGTCCTCGCTCCTTGAGAAAAATATTGGGCAGTGAGCGTTCTCTTCTGACGCGAAGAGGTCCACCTCTGCTCTGCCGAATAGCCGCCACAGTATTTGGACCGTTTGTGTGTTCAGGGACCATTCTCCTGAGGAGATGAGGTTCCTGGACAGTATGTCTGGACCGTCGTTCAGATGGCCCGGCACATGCGTCGCTCTGAGCGAGAGCAGGCGGCTCTGAGACCAAACTAAAATGCGGTGTGTCAGTAGGAAGAGATTTCTGGACCTCACACCGCCCTGACGGTTGAGATAGGAGACCACAGCCATGTTGTCCGAACGGATCAGGACGTGGTGTCCCCGAATGAGCGGGAGAAAGCGCGTTCTCGACCGCAAGCATTTCCAGACAGTTTATGTGTAAGGGGCTTTCCTGTGTCGACCAATGGCCGAAGGCCGGTGAGCCCTCGCAGACTGCATCTGCATCTGTCGAGATGACTTTTCGGCGGGAAAAGGTCCCCATCGTGACGCCCTGTCGAAACCATTCTGCTACTGTCCATGGCTGCAGCGCCGTGAGACATGTCTGCGTAACTCTGCGCGCGCGCTGTGTAGACAGGCGAGCCGTCATCGTGACCGAGTTCAAATCTATTCCTAGAAAGGAAATCGATTGACTGGGTTGAAGGGAGCTCTTTGTCCAGTTGACAGAGAGGCCCAGCGTTTTCAGATGGTCGAGGAGAACTGCGCGGTGCGACAGAAGCTCCGTCTGTGATTGGGCCAAAATCAGCCAGTCGTCCAGATAATTCAATATGCGCAGCCCCTGGCTCCGCAGGGGGGCGAGCGCCGTATCCATGCACTTCGTAAATGTGCGGGGCGCCAGGGATAAGCCGAACGGGAGAACGGCGTATTGATAAACATGACCCTCGAAGGCGAAACGTAAGAATGGCCTGTGACGGGGATTTATCTGGATCTGAAAATAGGTGTCTTTCAGGTCTAGAGAGATGAACCAGTCCCCCTGGCGCACCTGCGCGAGGAGTTTCCTGGTAGTGAGCATCTTGAACGGTCTCTTCATGAGCACTTTGTTCAAAGACCTGAGATCTAAAATCGGTCTGAGGCCGCCGTCTTTCTTGGGAACCAGAAAATAACGGCCGTAAACCCCGACTCGGTCATAGATGGTGGGACTCTCTCTATGGCGCCCTTTTGCAACAGCGTCGCAATTTCTGAGCGGAGCGTGCCGGCGGGCTGACAGTAGATTCGAGCCGCGCGTGCGCACGAGGCGGCCGGCGGCGAAACTGTAGCAGATAGCCGTTCTTTATAATGCTTAGTACCCACGGGGAAATGCCTGGAATGGCTTCCCACGCTTTGGAGCATGCGGCTAGTGGCCGAATGGCTATATCGCCCTGATTGCTGCACATAGCGGGCTGGACACGGTGTGTGGGCGCGCTTTGAATGTGTGTGGCAACGGGATTTGCACTCAGAGAGGAGTCTATGGGCCGTGAAACAGAGCGAGCAGAGAGGGGACACGCGCACGAGCTCGTGGGCGTGTTTATGTTCTCTGATATTAGAGCGGGCTGTGCCCGTTTCATGTGATGGGGCTCTGATAGAGACACGGGATATGTTATGCTTGTGTGTATGGGTGAGCACATGATTGTGGGCACATTTTCTACACAACTGGCAAATTTTCTCTTTTTGAGATTTCTCTGGGTAGCCGTAAAAACGGCTTTTTGTCGCTCGCAAGCGGGCTGGGACACCGGCTTGTTTGTGGCGGTCAACACTACAGCAGTCGGCGAAATAACGGGGACTGGCAGAGGGCGAAGCTTTGACGGCGGTCCGGCCGCAGCGGGAGAGCACCGTCGTTTTCTTGACTTTGCTAGGCAGACTTCTGATGATCAGGCTTCAGCGTGATCTTAGGTCGCGGGCCTAGTGGGGGCGGCGGTCTGCGGCGGCTGTCAGAGCGAGAGCGAGGGCGGCCGCCCTGTCTGCGCTGGGCTGTTTGAGTCTGCGGAGGGGGGCGCTGTGGTGGAGCTCTGGCAGGAGGCTCGCGAGAGCGGCCCGCGGAAGAGCTAGCGCGGCGGGGCAGAAACAAATTCATCGCCTGAGTAGCTTTCTGGACCTCAGAAAAGCGATCGACGATTCCCGTGACAGCAGATCCAAAAAGGCCCGTCGGGGAGAGGGGCGCGTTAAGAAACGCGGCGCGCTCAGAATCTTCCATGTCGGCGAGCGTGAGCCATAAGTGTCTCTCGGCAACACAAAGGCTGGCCATGCATCTCCCCAGAGCTTGTGCGGCGGCTTTAGTGGCGCGAAGGGCGAGGTCCGTAGCACTTCTCAGATCCGTGACAGCGGGGGAGGGGTTTCTACCGCCTTCGGCCCACTCACGGAGAATATCGCTCTGTAATACTTGGAGGACAGACATAGAATGTAGCGCTGCGGCGGCCTGACCGGCGGCGGCGTAGGCGCGAGCATGAAAGCTCGAGGTCGCTCTGCAAGCTTTCGAAGGAAGCGTGGGGGAAGAGCGCCATCTAGCAGAGGGCGGGCAGAGGTGTGCGGCGACCAAGTCCTCGACGGGCGGCATGGCTGAGTAACCTTTTTCGGCGGCTCCGTCCACCGAGCGCAGCGAGGCGGATATATCAGAGCGGTTTCTAGCCGAGAGCGGGGCATTCCAGGACTTCGTCAGCTCAGCGTGAAGTTCAGGCAGGAATGGGGCGGCCCGGTTGCACGCGGGGGTCGAGCGCCGATGAAAAAAGCTGCCGTCCATCCGGTTCGGGGCCTGCTCGGGTGGAGGAGACCACTCGAGACCGAGGCGTTCGACGGCCTGTGAGAGGAGGCGCATTAGTTCCTCCTCTATCCCGGCGCGGATCCCCGCCGACTCTCTCGTGGAACCGAGAGATGACCATTCTTCACTGTCTGATGCGAGCAGTGAACAGGAGTCCTTCTCCTCCGCGGCGTCATCGGAAGCGACAGAGCGGCCACTCGGCGGCAACTGTATGTCCAGCAGGGGCGGGGAGGGAGAGCGGGAAGCGGCGGCGGCGGCGGCCCGCATGGTTCCGCTGGGGGCTCCGGCGGCCTCTGGGAGCGGCGTTTCTTCTTACGCGGCGAAGAGGGAGGCGGCGCGGATTTTGCTGCCAGAAGTCGTGCCCGCAGGGACGACAACGGCAGGCTCTCACAGAAGTCGCATCCTCCATCCGCGAGGGCGAGTTCTGCGTGCTCGAGTCCCAGGCAGAGAGCGCAGATGACATGGCGGTCTCCGTCCTCGAGACGAGCGCGGCAAGAGCCGCAGGAAAAACGAGACATCTTTAAAAAGACGCTCGGCTCTTTTAGATATAAATAGAGAAAAGAGAAGGATACAGTCGTCGGATGGCGCTAGCTTGCAGGGCGGCTGAAGGTGGCGAAGACGGCCGGCTTCTTCAGGGTCCGGGAGCTCGCTAGAGTGATGCCTTCTCGACGGCGACGGCTTTTCTCAGGACAGCAGAAGCGTGCAGCTTGCTGAAGATGAAATGAATCAACATATAAGCCTGGGAGAGACTGTTATATACACCATAGCCACGCCCATTCTGGCGGGCCATGACGCAATGAGCGCGCGGGCGCCTCTCATTGGAAGCGGGTTCAGCCCCGCTCTCCCATAGGCTTAAGCAGTTCTCTCTGAGCGAACCAATGAGCTGCTAGCTAGCCTGCTCTAGGTCTGCCGCAGAGGAACTGCGTTGTCAATGGATACAAATTATGAAATAATTTTTTGGCTTCAATATCTCAGCAAAGATGAATCTTTCCCGCAGCGTAAGCTAGCTTACGCAATACGAGAGAACCTCTCGTAAGAGAACAGCCGTAATTCTCGCAGCTGCATCTTCTAAATAATGCCGCGAGTGAGGATGTGAAGTCGCCTGCGTCTGCGCAGTGCGATCTGATACAGCCCCTGAAGTGACACAGGAAACAGAAATGCTGCATAATAATAATGCAAGTAAACGAGACGAAATAACGTTAAATAACATTTCGTCTCGTTTTGGTCAACGAAAATGAAGAGATATTTTAGCATAGTTTTTATTTTGTAAACCACATTTAGTCTCGTTTTTATTCGTCAACAATATTGCATGATACATTTAATTATAGTCATCGTCACATGACCAGCATTTACGTTGCGTATCGTCTCGTTTTCGTCACGTGATAAAGGTATGTTGACGACGATATTTAGTCATAATTTTCTTTGACGAAACAAAAGCCTATGTTTTGTTTCTGTCAGGCGTTGCTGCTGGTTCACCTTGTCCTCCTGAAGTCATCCGTAAGGTCATCAATATCATGGGTGTTAAGGAAATGGTGGTAAGTGAAGGGGATTGTTCATTCTGTTATAAATCAGGCTGATAATAATTGTACAGTCGTGGTCAGAATTATTGGCACCCTTGGTAAATATGATCAAAGAAGGCTGTGAAAATAAATCTGCATTGTTTATCCTTTTGATCTTTCATTCAGAAAAATCACAAAAATCGAACCTTTCATTGAAGTAAAACTAATGAATATGTGGGGGAAATCACATTATGAAATATTTTTTTTTCTCAAATACACATTGGCCACAATCAATTCTGATGTGCAGCAAAAGATTGTTGAGCTTCACAAATTATTAAGTGGCTGTAAGAAAATAGCCAAAGCATTGAAAATGCCCATTTCCACCATCAGGGCAATAAATAAAAACTTCCGATCAACGGGAAATGTCACAAATCTGCATGGAAGAGGACACGTGTCTATATTGTCTTAAAGGGATAGTGCACCCTAAATTGAAAATTCTGTCATTAATTACTCTCCCTCATGTCGTTCCAAACCCATAAGACCGCTCATCTTCCGAACACAAATGAAGATCTTTTTTATCAAATCTGAGAGCTTTCTGTCCCTCCATTGACCGCTACGCAACTGAGACTTTGACACTTCCAAAAGTCCATAACAAGATTGTAAAACCTAATCCATATAAATTGAGCTGTTTAGTCCAAAGACAGACTCAATCACTTTATATTGAACAGATTGAATTTAGGCTTTTATTCACATATAAAAAAAATCATCAATGCACACATCTGTTGTGGTAAACTGAAGCTCAAGAATGTTCGCTTGATGTGCGAGAACCAATGAGGTTCATTCTCGAAGAACCTGCTCAATCGAACCGAAACAGAGGTTCGGTTGAGCTTCGGTTTATGTTCGCTGATCAATGTTTAATGTCAATAAAAGCCTCTCAGACAGCACCTACATCACAAGTTAAGGAGGGTTTCAAGTAAAATCATTTGCTCTCATCCATAAACATACTCCATAGTCAGTTGTCAGACACTACTGGAACTTTATATGGGACCGGGTTCTATGGCCAGATAAAATTGAAAAAAAAAAAAGAAGCTTTTTTGCTGCTAACCAGGGTTTCCGTTGTCCGGTAATTACCGGACATTGGCCGGGAAAAAAATGAAATGTCCGACAAAATTAAATCTCTCCGGTCAAATTGTCCGATTAAAATTGCGTAATAATCCCGCCCCCCTAACACAATATGAATTTGAGAATAATTCTAAAATGTATAAAGCAAAAATAGACCGACCTTTGGCTATGTTATAAAGGAACAGGCTCTAGGGTTTGAAAGTTATAAAACAACATCGCATGCTGCATTTCAAATAAAGCGCACGCCTATAACGGCTGTAATATAGACCTAAACAACGAATGATTGAGTGAGACGTTTCAGATATGGCCAGGCCCATTGATATTATTGATAAAGTTGATGATGCAGACTCGCCATCTTCGCAGTAGTGAACGCGCCTATAGAGAGAAGTGTGCACGCGCCGGCGCCTCCGGGTCCTGATTAGCCTATATTGTCCACTATTGCTTCTTATTTATTAATCCGGGCAAATTTGTTGATGAAACATTGATTAAAATTAATATACAATTTATACAAAACGAAATTTCAAGCAAAAATAATATTCGAAGATCACTGGGTTGATTATTATTCGAAAATCGCAGCCCTCCACCACATGCACGCACACATGCATTAGACTATACACCAGAGCATGAGCAAAGCGGAGCGGTGTGACGCTTATTATAAGTTAAAAAAACTTAAATATACGTTTCATATTTATAAATAATATAATGTTATTTATTTTTTTTCATCTATGTTGATTAGGCTATATGAAAAGGGAACCGCATGAGATGAGTAAGATAGGATCATAAGATGACCAATAGGCCTATCGGAAAACATTTGGAATTGGTCAGACATGATTTTGACCACTTATTTAGTTTTGTTTTGTAGAAAGCCTTTCTTTAAAGTTTATTTCGTTTTGTATAAATTGTATCTTCATTTTAATGAATGTTTCATCAACAAATTTGCCTGGATTAATAAATAAGAATTTATTCATATGAAGTGAGCATTTCTCTCTCTAGGCGCGTTCACTACTGCGAAGATGGCGAGTCTGCATGGTCAACTTTATCAATTTATCAACAATTTAAATGTTTCATGCATAATCATTACTTTCGCCGGTTATTTGTGGCAAGCTTTATTTCAGGTGTTGCGTGATATCTCTGCGCCCAATAACAGTGCTTCGCCTGTGCAGAGTCTCCGCAACAGCGATAGATTGAAACGCGCGTCCGAGTGAAGATTGCGCAAGAAGCTTGATTTAAAAAACAACTGATTTTAGCGCTAGATCTCTTATTTAATAGCGAACTAAATGAATGATCTGCTAGTTAACTGGATATGTTTTATTTATTTGTATTAGGTACATCCGTGCCTCAATGTTTTAAAAAGTGAATGTGTGTGAAACCATAGTAAAAAACAATTGGTGTTAATTGACGCCAATCGGACGTTCATGGTTTTTTCCGTCTATTTGAAAGTTAGGCTAATAATAACATGTTGCATTCTATACGGCCTGATTATGTCATTTTTTTAAGTAACATAGCCTGCCTCGAGTTTTCCTCAACTTGACTAATTAAGAGGCGATATTTGACCGGCATTTCATCAAAATGTCCGTTAAACGAAACCTCTGCCGGTCACTTTGACCGGCACCATTTTTTTCTAGCGGAAACTCTGCTGCTAACATACAAGATGGGTTTGTTGAACGCAGGGATGTTGCGGGCCTATTTTTCTGCTGGATGACATCTTATTCAAATACATGGCCTCATGGATTATTTTAAATACCAACCGATAAAAAATCGAAACCTGGCGGCCTCTGCCAGAAATCTTATAATGGGCAGTGGTTGGATCTTCCATCAGGAAATTATCCAAAACAAATATAGAAATCAACACAAAAATGGGTCACTGTGCAAGGGTCTGCCATGGCCATTCCTATAGAAAATTAAAGAGGAGAGTGTATCAACATGGACTTGGAAATTTGAAGCATCTGGAGAGATTCTGTATAGAGGAATAGTCTCTGATGTCTTGTCAGGTGTTCTCCAAACTCATCAGGCATTATAGGAGAAGACTCAGAGCTGTTATCTTGGTAAAAGGAGGTTGTAAAAAGTATTGAATAAGATGGTGCCATTAATTGTGGCCAATGTGTATTAGAGAAAAACATTACATTTTTTCCCCCATTTTAAATTGCTTTACTTAAATGATAGGTTATATATACACTGTAAAATGTTTCCGTTAATTTACACCCAAATTTCAACATGATTAACCTGTTATTTTTAATAACTGCGCCTTACTGTTAATTTTAGGGAATATATGTTAAATAACACCTCATTTTTGTTATTTAACACCTCATTGTTAAATAACACCTCATTTTTGTTATTTAACCGCAAAATCGAAAATTCAAGCAAAGATGTCAGATAGAGTAGGCTAGTCTGGTATGTTTGGAGATAAATGCCGATATGCAATTTTATGCTTATTATATAAAAAAGTTATTATATCAGAGAAGTTAGCAATTTCATTTCGGTTTTTTAGGTTGCTATAAACAACGACTGATTCAATCAATAGTCGACGGTGCAATCCATTACTAACAAACTAATTGTATGCATTTACTGAATGAAGATTAGAATTAAACACCTGATTTCTCTACTGCAAATGTTATCAAGAATAATCTTGCATAGCCTATTCCACAGACAGAAATAAGAAAGTTTGCGGTGTTTTCTGTGCATGGGCAAATGTGTTTGTTATCGTGATTCGTGGGTGTAATAGCTTTTTATTAACTGTTAATACCCTACACTCCGGATTTTACGCGAGAAGGCCTAACGTTTTAGTTGAGGAACTGCGCTCCCAATGTGTGTGTGTGTGTGTGTGTGTGTGTGTGTGTGTGGGTGTGTGTGTGTGTGTGTGTGGGTGGGTGTGTGTGGGTGTGTGTGTGTGTGTGGGTGTGTGTGTGTGTGTGTGGGTGGGTGTGTGTGTGGGTGTGTCTCCCTCTGAACACGGTGTAAATATCCGTATGTATCGCACGCTGGCAGGCGCCCGCGCCACCAGTCTATTGGCGCCACTATTTGAAATAACATGTTCATACAGTATTTTTTTAATACTGGGAAGGAGCGTAGAAGGCATTTGAACCTGCCGGCAACGAACACGGAGATCCATGTCGGAGGAGGATCGCGGTGGTTACATCGACCAAAATCACAATAATCCGGTGAGAGAGTTTCTTGAAAGTCATACATAGTTTTAACATCTATCAGTGATGTTGATGTATAAGTTACTAAACGCCACGGACTTACACCACATGAAATGAAGTAACGGAACTTAGCTAGCTAGCTGCTAATGAGCCTAGGTGATTTCGATAGTTTGTCCATTAGTTTTTAGAAACAATGCGCTTATTTTAATGTCTATTTATGTATACGATCTAAATCTATAAACAATAGGCTAACATTACGCCTATAACTCTAAGTAGCATTCCCGTGGTCAAGTTTGTGTGGCATTCTTGGCATGTGCATGTCTGGTTAAAGCAGATTCATCCTGAAAATCAAACGGCTAACATAAATCTATTTACTGATAGCAGCTAGCTGTTTATTATGCTAGATAACGTTAACTTAGTTGGTCTAGTTGGTCCAAGTATTTAATGAATTCATGTCAGCTGCTCGTCTTTGATGGATTATAGCGCTAGCTGTTTGGGCTAACGTACCAGACATGCTGGTGTGACTATTTTATGTGCAGGTTTTAGCCTATTAATGAGGTAAATCCAGCAAAAACAGCTATTACTGATAGGGCTAGTGCAGTATCTAGCTATGTGAACAGCTATTCTCTTTTAATTGCCTTGGTATAGTGCACCCTATTATTATTATTTTTTTTGCTGTTTTGATTATCATTGAGTTGTAGATCAATGTTTACATTTGTTTTCTTGTTTTTTTTTATTACAGATGCAGGATACCATCCCTGATCACACTGCTGTTCAAGATGATATCCCAGGATTTATATCTCTATCTCTCTATATCCCCTCTCTCTTTATCTATCTCTTCCTGTCTCTCCATCTCTCATTCTATCTATCTATCTCAATCACTGGTAGTCTTCTGTCATTAATATTGTGTTTAATTTGTTAATGTCCTAGGGATATGCCACTGCAGCTGACCTTGAGAGTTCACTCTTTATACCTGCAACTCCTCGTCTGATACTTCTTGGTAAGTTGGTTTAGATAGGACAGTTGGCTTTAGAGTTGTATGTAGTGAATTCAATGGTATCAAACTAAACTATTCAAAATGAAAACTAAAACAGAAATTTGACAGTTAAAACATTTCTGTTTCAGGAGAAACGGGAAGCCGCTTCCAGCGCTGGATGCTCAGCCTTGAGGGCCAAATCATTTGCAAAGGGATCCAGTCCACCTTTGTGATAGGGCTGGCGTCTTTTTTCCCCTGTTTTTACATCTTTAACCTACAGTACAAAGAGGAGGCAGCCTGCACGATTGAATTCATCCAGAGGTAAGATATTGTCTGTTAACACCTGCATATTTTTCTGGCTTAGCTGTGGCTCAAGCATGGTTTTAACAGGTCTGGTGATGGGATTTAGCAATTAACTTTGATTTAGAAAGTTTTAGTGCAACTTACAATATTCACAGAGGCAAGAAGATAGTGCATGTTGAGGATAGTTCATGTACATTTGTTGTCTTTGTTGTGCTGCCTGTTAGTCTGTGTGAATTACTAGATTTTTAACCAGTGTATAATTTTTCAGATGCTTTGTGGGTTTAAACCCAGAAAAAGGGACAAAGGCTGCAAAGGGGAAAAACAGAAGAACTTTGTCAATTCACACGTCGCCAGCCTCTTGCTCAAGCTCATGGACTTTCAGTGGGATTTCATTTGAAAATGGTGAGTAAGATGTATACATTACACATATGTTCAAACAGCAACGACTCAGGAGCTGGGGAAATTCATTCTAATGTTCATTCTCAACTGCCTTTCAAAGTTAGAATGCTGAACTCCTCTTCCATGCTCTTGCCATTCTTTTTTTGTTCTTTCAATGAATTGTACTCATCACCCTTTCTATTATTTTTTTATTCTGTCTGGTTTGGGCTCTGTTTCTAAAATGAGCTTTTGTTAGGTCAAGCCATGTGATTTAATTTTGGATTAAAAATGTGAAATTATGGAACTCATATCTCTCCTCTCTCTCTCTCTCTCTCTCTCTCTCTCTCTCTCTCTCTCTCTCTCTCTCTCTCTCTCTCTCTCTCTCTCTCTCTCTCTCTCTCTCTCTCATATACAGACCCAAAGGATCCTCATTGTGTGCTTTGAGAAAATGGTTAGTGGTCTAAGCAGTGACAGAGTTTTTATTGTTTATTGCTCTTTATTGATGAAGAGTTCCATTAAGTGTTGGTTTGAATGTATTCATACGTTGAATTTTAGTGGTTTATGTACCACTAAGTGTTGATGTTCAGTATTTTGTTATAATGAACAATGTATTTGCTACTTTTTAAGCCATGAACATGAGAATGTTTGTGATTAATCTGAGCCTATGTGTAAAAATTTTATGTGACCAGGAGTCACAGTGTATATCCTTGGTTTGAGTTTTTTAGCTGAATTTTAGCATTTCAGGGAACATTAAATGTTGAGGTTTAGGGCCTTATCTTGCACCGACGCAGCGCAAAGCCAAACGCAAGTGTCTTTGCTAGTTTAAGACAGACACAGTTGTTATTTTCCGTCCAGCGACCACAGATGTCAGCAATGAACATGATATACAGTATATTTCTATGATTGGTCTGATCCATGTGTGCCTACATTTGTAAGTATTTACCTTTCAGTGTTTGTATTACAATAAAAAAAGTTAATTTCAACACAGAACTATTCGTTTTCTTTCACTTAAGTGTTATCTGATGGATTATGCCTATTCTTGTATTAACTCAAGCTAGAATATGTCTATAACAATCAGTGGTACACGTTACTATATGCTAAAAATAATTAACAATATTTAATGGAAATAAAATAAATGGTGATTTAACAGGAAAATAATGGTAACACTGCTGCCAGTTGTTTCCTGTTTTTTCTGTGATTTACAGTAAATTCCTGTTGAAAAACATTACGGGGAGTGCACTGTAAAAAAACAGTAACAGGAATAAACTGTTAAAATAACAGGAAAATAATGGTAACCCTGCTGCCAGTAATTTCCTGTTATTTAACAGGGAAATAATTAACAGTGTATATATATATATATACATTTTTATAAAAGGTTAAAATAATTTAGAATGCAGATTTATTTTCATAGGCTTCTTGTTCATATTTACCAAGGATGCCAATGATTCTGACCAGGATTGTACAGTATGTATACTACATGTCAGTATCACTAGGGGGAGACAGAGATTTTCACATTAATGGTTTAGCTGCAATTTTGATATTTTCTTTCAACCTCTCTGAAAAGTCTGATGATAATCATGAATTGAATTAACGCATTAAAAAATCACTAATAGAACAGCTCACCTTGTCTGTACTTTTTATTTCAGTTTTTGTATACACTGAAACTGAAATAAAGTACATCATCTTTCTCTTCTAAGAAAATAAACTTGCCTTATATTTACCACACCTGATATTCCATACTCATATTAAATATTCCCCTTATATTTGAGTGATGTACACTAATGTTCAAAAGTTTAGGGTTGGATTTAATTTTTTTTTTTTTCCATTATTATTCATATTTGCTCACCGTGGCTGCTTACCTTTGATCAAAAATACAGTAAAACAATAATATTGTGTAACAGTACAATGTAAAATATGTCTCTTTTCTCAGTTATATTTTATATTTAGTGCAATGTTTATTCCTGTGATGGCAAAGCTGAATTTTTAGCATCATTAATCCAGTCTTCAGTGTCACATGATCCTTCAGAAATCATTTTAATATGCTGATTTGGTCCTTAAGAAACATTTCTAATTGTTATTCATTTTGAAAACAGTTGTGCTGCTTAATATTTCTGTGGATTCTTTGATCCAAAAGAACAACATTTTATAACTCTCTTCATTTTTTAAAAGAGTTGTTAGGGAGAGTTCAGCAGAAAAATAACACAAACTGTATGACTTTATTTCTCTGAGCTGCTTTCTTTCATACAGTGAGGCTGTCAAACTTCAAAAAGAAAGAACCAAACAAGTAATCCATGTGAATTGCTCTAAGTCTTAAGGCATAATAGCTTTGTGTGAGGAACAAACAAAAATGAAAGAAGAAGACTTAAGTTGTTCCCTGAAAATATTTCACTTTATGAAACAAGAGCAGTTTGGGCATTGTTATGAATAACTCATTTTATTTTTCACAAAAGAAAAAAGTCAAACAGGGTTTAAGAGCAATGAGGTTGTAGTAGATGATGACCATTTTCATTTTTGGGTGAACTATCCTGTTAAGAAATGGGTATGGAGAAGGTAACAGTACTACTCTTTTTCTAAGCACACACTGCACAATTTTAGTGCATCCACTTGAAATTCATAAAGTTCTCATTATTGTTAGTGCTTTATATGTATTTTATTGAACATGAGTACATCACAGTAACAAACTGATACCATTACAAACTGATACCATTATACTGGAGAACCTCCATTTGTCTCAATGTTTTAATAAAAAAAAAAAAAAAAAATTTTACCCGCTCTTCCTAAATCCTTCTCTTCTGGCACCATCATCATCATTTCTTGATTTTGATTGGTCAGTCACAGCATCTTTAATGGCTAATCTTTGGCAACCAATCCTGATCACCCTGTCTAGATTCTATTTTGTGATAATGACATATCTTACATATATTGTCTCATTTACTTTTTTCATGGCTATAAGGAGTCCACGTTTTCCTCGCCTGTGTAGCGTTTGACGTTGGTCAGAGATTTGAAGAAGAGGTCAGGTCATGTCACATCTTGAATATGTGTCAGTTTTAGTCATGGTCAAGATTGGTTTGTCATGTTTGCAAAGCCTCAGAAACTCTTGCGGGACGTTGTGAGATGCATAAAGCTAAGGAGGATCTCACAATGTGGAAACAGGATCCTCACGAAGAGCTCCGCTTTGATTATAACACTGTGGTGGTTATATAATATTAAGTGCTTCTACCATGAGAATGGGAGTATGACTTGAAATATCATAAAATGAGAATCTGTAGAATAGATAAGGTTCATTCTACAGTGGCTCAAAGAATGCCTGCAAAACATGTTTGGCTGTGATGTGCATCCTTCTACATTTTTATGCTGAAAAATTTAACATACAGTATGCACATCTATAATAGACCCTCTAATAAAAGACTGATTTTATTTTTGATGTAGATATAATTGAAATTATAGGTTTTGTCATTGAAGAACATTTCGAACTTACCTCAAACATAGTCTAGATGAAGTCTTTGTCCTTCAGCAAGGCACTGCTGAGTTTCTAAATAAATGCTAATCAATGCAATGTCAATCCATTCTACCAATTCTCATTTTATGGAGTGTGTTCTATGTTCTATGGTGTGGAAAAAAACTAGTCCTGTGATGATGGATTTACTGCCAGGTTGTTTGAATTAAAAATATAAAACATAAAAACAGTGAATACTAAGAGTTTGAGGCACATTTCCGTTGTGGTGTTCTTATTTGTGAATATTTCACTTTGCAGATGTACCCAGTTGCTCCTTCGGGGTGTTTGTCAATGTCTGTGAACACATGTATGCTATTCATGTTGTTTAGTATGAATTGAGTCAGCGCATTTATGTCACAAAAAAAAAAAAAAAGAGGAAATGGACAGTCCCAATGTAGCAGTCTGCATTGCTTTCCTTTTCTGCACATTGAAGTCCTGACACCTGGACAGGCCCTGTCCTCCTGAGGGAACATACAAATAAGTTTGCCAAGCTTAGTTTTGGACATCTAATGTTCTGCACATAGTGCCAAAGCCAAAATGGAAAAGTACAAACAAACGCTAAAGAACAAAGAGACCAGAAAGAACATGAAGGATAGATTCGAAGAACATAACAGACAATATTTTACCACAAGGCAGTGGCCCAAACCCATATCCTGACCAGACAATATTTTACCACAAGGCAGTGGCCCAAACCCATATCCTGACCACAATTATAGTATTACCAGTCACTCTTTTATGTTGGAGGAGGTAAAAACGCATACGATTAGCATTAGCCTCTCGATTCTCTTGTTTAAATATGCGACTTTAATTTCTCACAGAAGTTACTGGAAATCAATGCTTTAGGATGAAGTGATTATATTATGTAAATGCAATATAATGAATTATGGGGAAGGTGTATGCATAACATAATTCAAAACATAAGCCAAGCATTAATAGCTACTGAATTAGAGGTAAGTCCACCAATGACTAAATTGGTAACTTGGGACCAGGCTTCTCCTGTCCCAAACCTTTCAAAACTTTGCTTAAATAATTTCATAACCAATTTATCACATCCGCAGTGGCCTCTCTGGCCACTTGAACAGAATCTCATGAGTATCTCCTGATGAAAGAGTCTTTTATAGAGATCATGGGAGAGCAGTGGTGTCTTGCTCTGTGCACCACAGAGAACCCTTGAGACTAGTTAGTTACTCTGTTTTTCTTCATCATTTATTTACATTTGCAAATCATGTGGAAAGAGGCTAGCTGTCATACTGAAGTCTGTGATTAATGTCTCATTTTTATGAGCCTTAATCCTGTGGTCTCATTTACAAGACCTCTGTGGACCACATAAACCTTGTATGGGTCTGGATATTAGACCTCAGTTTAGGGTGTGGGTCTCAAACCTGGAGGACTTGGTTTTGGCTATGGTGTATAGCAGTCTTTTATCAGGATTACTTCACAGGCTTCTTATTTTGTTATTTGACTGCTGGTCTCAGACTCTCAGCACTCTTGCAAATACTTCTAAATATTTAAATAATTTGACAATATTTTATAAACTGTATTATACACTGCCCTGCCAAAAAAAATTGCGGTTTGGATTTTAATAGGCAAATGCTTAAGATTCTATGATTGGATCATTGTTGCAGTGACTATGTTTTGCAACATTTCTTCTATCCCCAATTGATGGAGTGTGTAGCTTTTCATTTCTTAAACAGCCATGTAGGAAGACACATCATGGCCATATATCTGGATGACAGTGTCAAGATTCATCAGGCTCAAATTGTAAAAGAATGGTTGGGTGGGAGCATGAATAATAACTTTCACACAAGAGTCCAGACCTTAAATTCATTGAATGTCTTTGGGGTGTGCTGAAGGAGACTTTACAGAGTGCTTGACTCTTGCATTGCCAATACAAGATCTTGACCAAACATTGATGCACCCCTTCATGGAAATAACATCACAACATTTATTTCCATCAAGAGGTGTATCATTTCCAGCATGAGTCGAGCACTCTGCAAAATCTACTCCAGCACATCCCAAAGACTTACAATGCATTTAAGGTCTGGACTCAGAGGTGATTTTTGTTAATGCAATGTCATTTCTGCAGTTTCAAATGTTATGAAGTTGTGTGAGTGGAATTAACAGGGCTGCTCACCATCTCAGAGCCGTGGTCCCTTCCTGGTCCTCTTTGCCTTGCAGCGGGTGAAAGCAGTGCTCTCTCTTATTTGCTTTCCTTTCTGGTTTCCAGGAGAAGCACAAACTGCATCAGGGCGATTGCGGCTAGTGTCCATCCATCTGCACAAGAAAATCCAAGCATTTAAAGCAAACCTAAAGCACCCAATGTCAATTACTGTTTGAATAAGTTATTACAATCTTATTAAATATTAGAAAGACAAACATTTTTTTCCCTTTAGAATAACATGCGCCAATGAATTGTTCACGATATTACCAAAAGCGTGTATTAAGAAAGCAAATAGGTTTGATTTTGATTTCATGTTGACTTTAAATGAAGCCATGAAGTAAAAAATGAAAGGCATAGTTTCTCTTTATTACTGCATCAACCTTAAATAGTTATGTTTGAAGTGATGATCTGGGTTTTTTCTCTTACTTTTTGAGATTTGCTAATTGGCAGGTGCAGCTCCAGGGGTTGTTAAACAGAGTGATGTTCTGGAGAGTGCTAAACTCAAGGCTGTTCGGCAGCGATTTCAGCTTGTTGTTCTCAAGATGCAGAGACTTGAGAGCCGTCACTCCCTCAAAGGCAGCATTCGAGAACTTGATGGGTAGAAAGGACAGATAGACAGTGTATATACAGATGATAACATGTTACAACTCACTGCTTTGCTTCTGCATGTAGAATATCCTAGCAATTAGCATTCAAAGTCTCTCTTAATATCTGAAGGAGACTTGTGGATGCTAGACTGAGGGCTTTTTTTCCACATGAAAGGCCTCTCTCATGCGGTCCTCTGTGCCAGAGCTTATGTAAACCTGTCCACACTCTCCTTCCAGCCCTCCGTCAAACTTCATAAGCGTATGCAAGGCTGCTAAAAACTTCACCAAGGTGTTAGACGTACTGGTCTGCATGGTGTCTGCTTTATAGGAAGACGACGGTTGAGGAGCTGAGACAGTGTACACACCGTGTCTGTGGGTGTGTTATGCAAGCGTAGAAAAGATGCACTTATTGAAAGGACGTTTTGGAAATTTCCACTCAGAAGGCAAGAGACGTGGAGAGTTTGGTAATTTGAGGCGATAGAGGATGGATCATTTCCATCATGGAAGGGTTGTTTTCACTTTTTCTGTCTGTCCACTCCTCCCATCGACCTGCTCTTTTGCCAGAAATGCCTGCAAAGGGCTCACTTGTCCATTCAGATGAGGCAACAGCAGCCTAAAAATACTTCTCTTCATGGGCCATGGAAAACCCTGTTACTATTTACCTGTCTGCTAACCCTTGCTGACCTGTTTACATGGTTCGCCAAGTGAGAGGAAAAAACATGGCTCTCAAAATAAAATTCAGCAAATAGACTCTAAAATTATCCACATGTGAAGGAAGAGTGGTTATTTTTTTCCCTTTTCTATCATACAAACAGCATTGACCAACTGCATGGGGCTAATACTTGTTGATGTGCTTTTGCCCACTTCTCTGTGTGTTTTATATATCTATCTAAAAATATCTAAATATATATATATATATATATATAAAACAATTATTTGAAAATATTTTGGTCAATAATGTGATAGTTTGCACTGGTATCAGTCCATGTGGAGATTCTGTGGAAGTCAGATCAAAGACAAGGAAAAGATAAATGTATCTCTTAAACGCTTTCATTAGCCGTTTAGTGATCCACAGGGGAAAATCCTGCTGGAATAGCACATGTGCATCCTGACATAAAGCACATGTGACCTTATTTAAGGCCTGAAGGGAATGGACAGAATATCAGGAGTATCTTATTGAAAGAAAACAGGTGAAAGTTTCCAGCACAGGTCTGTTTTAGCCAAATACCACTTTGTTTCAGTCTACAGTTTGCATTTATTCCAATGGGGTTGCAGTACATTTGCGTGGCCAGCTCTGATGGGATGTAAAGTTTGTTTGCCAATGCTAAGCTTCCCGAAAACCCAACACAAACATGCATTTATTTAGCCACAATTTTAGAGGCAGGCATTATGGGGAAAGCATTTTGGTTCATAGTCAGCATCTTCATTTTTTTCATGTTTTATTTTAGTTTTTAAGTGTTTCATCTACAAAATAACTGCTATGTCAGACTTACCTTCTCCAGGCTCATGTCATTTAGATGTAGCTTCTCCATGTAGCGGCCGAAGCTCCGGAATGCGTGGTCAGGGATGAGGCTGAGAGGGTTTTTGGACAAGTTGAGTTCCTCCACGACACGCAGCTTGCTCATAGCCAGTAGAGGGTAGGTAGACAGCTGGTTACGGTCCAAGGTTAGAATGGCCAGGTTCTCCACTTCATCAAGAGAACCTGGCTGTATGGAGCTCAACTCGTTGCCACTCAAATATAGCCATCGGAGATCATTAGCACCTGTGAAAGTACCAGGCTGCAGCTCTCGAAGCTTGTTGTTGTCGAGCTGCAGGATAAACAGGTTGACCATGGGAGAAAAGATGCCCTTCGGAAGGATTGTGATGTGGTTACCATCCAAATAGAGATAGGTCAGTTCGGTTAGGTCCTCAAAAGCACCTGTTTTGATGGTGCTGATCTCATTATTAGACAAGTAAAGGTAGATGAGCTTCTTTACCCCTTTGAAAGCCTGGCTGGAGATCTCGCGGATCTGACAGTGCTGCAGATGCAGAGAAATTAGCCCCTTCATCTCGCTGAAACCCCCAGTTGGGAGATTTCCCAAGTTGTTCCTTTGCAGATTTAGGAGACGAGTGGCCTCGGATATGCGGGGGATCTTCTTCAGTCCGACGTTGTCACAGATAACATGTTGCAGGTCCCCATGGCAGTGGCACTGGCTTGGGCACTGAGTTGGCGCGGCAAACGCAAAAGGGACGCAAACCTGTAGACACACTAGCACCAGTAAGAAGCTGAAACTGTACATGATGATGGAGTGTTGATCAGTCCACTGCTTTATGCTATTAGGTGTTCTTTCTGCTTTACTCCGAGAGACGTTTGCAGCAGGAACATATACAGACTGCAAAAGTGGTCCACACAACCTCAGAGTAAAGAGAGAGAGTGTGTGTGAGTGGAGAGAGAGGGCTAGATGTGAGCTAGAGAGAGAGAGAGAGAGAGAGATAGAGGGGTGTGTGTGAGTCAGAGAAAAGTAGGGGAGAGAGCTGAACGCAGTACTAGTGTTTACAATAGTCGTAATTATAATCACAATCACAATAATCACTTAACTTACATAGCCATTGCAAACTTAACGGGGTCATATGATGCTATTTTAAAAGTTCATTATTTTGTTTGAGTGTAATAGAATAGGTTAGAACATTATTTTTCACATATTGTACATTATTGCAGTACCTCTATTCCCAGTCTGAAACGCTCTGGGCTTTTCGGAAGGAGGGTCTTTGTAGAACCCGGAACTCTGAGTGCTCTGATTGGCCAGCTGACAAAGTGTATTGAGCTTGGCCAAACACCTCTAGCTTGAAACGAAACTTATCATATCACGGGCTTCAGCTTCCAAAGCAACTAAACACCATCTGTTAATGTCATCGGTTTTACCGTATCAGTTTGAACCCGAGTCAGATTCTGAAATTGCAGATTGATCGGAGCCAACTTTGCAAGCACGACTTGTGTACACCCTTACGTAACAAAAATATATGGGAATATACCGTAAAATATAATGCGATTATATTACATAATACATTTCCATATATGGGAAACAACTGCTTATATTTTTCAATATACTGCAATATATGCATTGACCATGTATGGCTAAATATTGATACATATAAATTAAAAAATTAAATTGCATTACATGTAATATTCATAAAGTTTTATCCTTTATTGTCTACATATATTGCACATACATGTTCCCATATAAATGCGAATTTATTGTACACACATTCACAGAATGAGTTACAATGCAGTGGTTACAACAGATTTCTAGTTCCCAGCATGCTTTGCTTCTGAATATTAAAGAAGAGTAAATGTTCAAATGAAATCAAGTGTTATTTCACGTGTTTTGCTCGATATTAATAGGGGGAGATCGGTTTGTGCTTTAAGTTGTATTATTTTGGAATTTAAAAGGGTTGCTGGTATTTGTGAGTTTTTGGGGTTACAGTTGTGCTGAAGAGTAGAGCCTGTGTTTCGGTTGACGATTGGCTGAACACCATTAAGACTGTTTCTATAATTAAAAAGCAATGGCTGTGCGCTCTTCAGCACAGTGATAGTCTCTTTGCTAAATCATTTAGTACTGTACTATTATTAAGTTATATCTGAAAATATTAAATGTATATAATGTAAATAATTATAAAATATAAGAAATATTACATTATATATTTCAATGTGTGTGTGTTTATATACTGCATGAGTAAATATGTTCAATTTATACACGTTGTACCATATCTGATCACATATACGTCTATATGTTATGAAGTGTATTACTGAATATGAAATTGCATACAGTATGATATATAAGTAAATATATTGTCTTATTTTTCAATATATGAAACTGGCAATTCCTTATGTATTATTCAATATATTGTAATATATTTACATAATATATTATTCTGTATATTTTAGAATATACCGTTAAATCGTTTAATATTTTGATAATTCATTTATTAAAAGAAATATATTTTCTTTGCGTAAGGGCAGATGGTGTTGTACTCTCCCTGGTTCAGGAAGCTGTCCTCCGTAAAATGAGCTTTACACAAGTGAACTTTTGGGTTGTACTCCTCAGGAACATTGTTATAAATAATTTTCGGAAGGCCAAACAAAGAGATTTTTCTTTCGCAACAAAACTCCACAACATGGCGGCAACACTAATTCAATTTTGCCTCGACTTCTTTCTTTGAGCCTTTTGGGGGGGATTATGCTAATATTTCACATTGTGACAGAAGTTTGCTGAAGTAATATCTGAACTTCGATGGTGGTGTTTTAGACAGGTCTGGATCAGTGTTTTCTGTTAGAAATAGAATAAATCCAATTTAATGGAAGTTACACTCATATACTGCGTTATGGGTCGTAGGAAAAATGTAGATATAATTTTGTCTAAGTTTATTTTTTTTAAATAATTTTTACCTTAACAAAACATGAAAGGTTTTAAGTGCATGTTAGGTGTAAGAAGGTTCAGACGTCCGAAATTGTATTTTTGTTCCTAGTCTCTCATTTCATTGGGTAACTTGTGTGCTGCCAAATCTCGTGAGGTTAAGGTGAGACTGTGTGTCGTGCCAGACAGTTCCATTGTTTTTGGTCAGCAGAAGGGGAAAAAGGAGCCACTCCCATATGGCGGGTGTTTTATAACATATAATCACCACCAGATGTTTGGCTGGTATCACATCACAACAATGAAAATGGAGGTTTTTCTTTTGTCTGCATAGGAGCGTTTCATTTGGAGAGGCACATTCCTCTACATAAATGCCTCCTTTGATTTCAACTATGTACAGTATTCAGTGTAAAAAGGAAAGAAACTGAAGTGCACTGTGCAATCACCTATTTCTTTTTCCACATTCAACAAAACATTTTATCTTTATTCCTCTTTCTTTGGCTCAAAGACCTAAAAGAGACTTCAGATCTCTTCATGAGCGCCTCAGCTTTTCTCAGGTTAGGCGGAATCTAGTGTTTGCTTAACAAATTTAACATTTTATCGGCAAAGTGTATGACTTGGTCCTTTCAAGTCCACATTCACACCCTGCAGTGTGCAAATTCTGTCCAGCACATATCTAGTATTTGGCTAGTAGTAACATTGGCCTGTTATCGATATCTATATAGAACAAAATAATTATATCAAGTGAGAAAAGGTGTAATATTGTTTGACTGGAATCTCAAAAATAAAATATTTTAAATGGCCATTTGAGATGATGCATGCATTTTTTTCCCCTTTACTAATTGAGTTCATAAGCTCATGACTCACTTAGAATCACTTAAAATGTTCTAAACAACATTTTAAATGTCTGGCATGTCTCACAGTCTCACCTCAACAGCTGGCAGCTCATGTAATTCAGCTTGGTAAACACAAATTGACATCCTGTGCTGTGATGAGGTTATGTCTCTGAATGACACCATGGAGGAATCGTTTCTAGTGCACATTATCTAAGGCTATCTTATTTGGATGATTTGTTTTAGCCCAAAGCAATACTGTATAGTGAGAAAGCTTGGGTAAAAAACAACAGCTGGAGTGCCAGTTCTCAGGTGCGCACTACATACCTCACCTGCTTCCCAGGCCTGGTGGATTCAGCTGATTCAGCTGTCTGCTTGCCTTTAGGCTAGTTTTTGGAAAAATGTTAACAAAAGGCCTTTACTACATAGTACATACACTGTGCAAAAAGAGTAATGTAAGCACACGGACTGAAATTTTAGTGAGTTTAATGGCATCGAAAATCACGAGGTTAGTTCCATAAACCATAACATACACACTCCAATATCTGGGCTTTAAAATGTAATTTACACATGGAAGTAAACAACGTTTTAGGATTTAGAAAAAATTTAAAAAGAAGAAATATTTCAGACACTATTTCTAGGTCAAATTTGTGAGACTGTAAGCAAAGGGGGATACATAAATCTCTAAAATAAATAGTTATAAAATATGTAATTAGTATGCAATATGTAATTGTAATATGTAATTAAAATGCAATATGTACACTGTAAAAAGTAATCGGTTGCAAAGGATTTCCTCACTTTTAAGTTATGTTATGTCACATAAGTTATTTGAACTTACTTATTTACATATTATTTTATCAATTCAAAACCTTAAAATGTTTTCTAAACGTTTAATAATAATAATAATAATTTATATAATACAATATTATATGTAATAATAAATTATAACAAAAAAATAAAGATAGATGTGTCATCTTTGTGTTTTGGAACAGATTGCGTACGGCACAACCGAAAACAGCCCTGTGACATTCAGCGGCTTTCCAGTTGACAGCATGGAGCGAAAGACAGAAACTGTTGGATGTATATGCCCCCATACTGAGGTTCATTTCCACACACTACTAGATAAAGATGTTCCGCATGCATATTTATTGTCTGTTTTAGCACATACTGAATGGTGGTTTCTCCATTAGGCAAAAGTAGTGAACCCTACTACAGGACAGATCGTGCCTCTGGGCGCTCAGGGCGAGCTGATGATCAGGGGATACTGCGTGATGCTGGAATACTGGAAAGATGATGAAAAGACCAACGAGTGCATCTCAAAAGATCGCTGGTACAAGACTGGGTAAGTGCGAGTAAATATATATATATATTTTTTCTTCCTTTTGCTCTTACTAGATATGAACATTATTCAGAATTCATTACATGACTCAGTGACTGTTCTGTCATTTATAAAGTGATATTGCCACTTTGGACAAGTACGGCTACTGCAAAATGGAAGGACGCATCAAGGACATGATCATCCGAGGAGGAGAGAACGTCTACCCTGCTGAAATCGAACAGTTTCTGCATACACATCCTAAAGTTCAGGAAGCACAGGTCAACAATGTTAAAGAAGCCCTATTATGCCCTTTTACAAAGTCTTGGTTTTGTTTTTGGCGTCTACTAGAATAGGTTTTCATGCATGTGTAAAAAATGTTTTTTTTTTTTTTTAAACATTCATTTTATATTGTTGCGGCACCTCTTTTCCCAGTCTGTCAGTAATGCTCTTAGTTCCTGTTGCTATAAAGGCTCTCCTTCTGAAAAGCACAATGTGCTCTGATTGGTAAGCTGAACCAGTGTTGTGATTGGTCAACCTCTTTGAGTGTGTTTCGCAAATGTCACGCCCCCTACAATAACCGCGCGAGTGTCAACACACTACGTAACTCATCTAGGTCTCAGCCCTTTTTTTTTCAAATGCCTTGAGTGGGAATTATTTAAGACTACAATTTGTGCTTGGTAACTTTGCAGACCTTTTCATGCTCAGAGCAACATTACAAACTAAAGAAAGCATTTTAACCAGTGACACTGATGTACCTTAGCACTTCTCATCAACTGTTCCTTTAACCTCCATTTTACAGTAAAGAAAGCAAGATGGTTTAACCGATAAAAGAATTAACTCTCTGTTGTCCATACAGGTGGTTGGAGTGAAGGATGAGAGAATGGGAGAGGAAGTTTGTGCTTGTATTAGACTCAAGCCTGGTCAGGAATGCACTGCAGAAGAGCTCAAGGCCTACTGCAAAGGAAAGGTCCGAATATCTGTCATGCTTTATGCGTTATCCAGCACATGTACACAACTATTTGTCATTAAAATATTACTGTTGTTTTTGCAGATTGCCCATTACAAGGTGCCACGCTATGTAACGTTTGTTCAGGGATATCCTTTGACTGTCACAGGCAAGGTAAGTGATATGAAAAGTATGAAAGTCACTGCACACCACCACAGTTATTAACTATAAACAATTCAGATGATTCATTTAGTCTAGAGAAAGTCATTCCAGTGAGCATTTAAATAATGAATCTCCCCCTTTTCTGTCTCTGTGGGTACATCATGTTAAAAATGAAGAAAACGTAAAAATTGTGTTTTCTTGAGCCAATTCACATTTGTCTCTAGACTAGACCGAAGACATTCAAGCAATTTCCCTGTCTGCATGAAAGCCACTGATGTGGTTTCAGACATTCAAGGGCTACTATGACACCTTTGCTTTTAAAGGCTTGTGGTTTGCTCTCGACAGATTGAACCCTTTAATATCACTTCAACTGTTTCTTTTCTTCATCTCTGTCAGATCCAGAAGCACAAACTGCGTGAGCAGACAGAAAAACAGCTTGGACTCTGATTGCAAAAGCACCTGTGGTATTTTTTTTCAAACAGTTTCTAGCAGGACATAAGGATATTGTTACTCATAAACATGGCTTTTAAAACAATGAAATCACAATATTTTTAATTAAACATGTTATTGTCATGTTTTATACATACATGATACTACCCGATTATGTTACCCTATTTCTAAAAATATATACAAGTGGCATTTCTACATGTTAAGGATCATGTGCCTTTTCTTAATCTTCTTTATTTTGGTATGAATTGTTTTTGGAACCAAATAATTCTTAATCCTAGGAACCAAATATATCAGTATCAAAATTATGCATGGTTACACTAGGCCAGTTTTAGGTAGATGTCTTTATAAATGTATACCTAAATTACACTATTGTTAAAAGAAATGACAAGAAAACAAAGTGTTAATTTATTTTCAGCAATCTCAAATGAAGATCATCTTGTTTGGTTTCTGTGCACATCTGCTCCCTATTCAATCTGAAGTTCGTATGTTTTAAATTTTAGATTACTGAAATATCCAAAAATAGGGTATTTAAGGCAAAAATGCAGTCTTTTTGTTGGCAGTAAAGTAGTTTCCCTCATTGTGATCTCAGGTGTGCCCTGTCGGTGTTCATTTAGGCCTTGGTGCTTTCCTGCTTGGCTCGTGATGTGAACATTTTGATGCTAGTGTTGAGACCATATGGAAAGATGTCCTCTCATAGCATTCTAATGGGTCTGCTGGAAAGTAATGGCTACTCTGGTTTGGACAAACACATAGTTTCGTGAGGATCATTTAGGGTGAGACTTTAAAACTAAAGACCTGGACAAAACCCCAGACATTCTTTTCGAGTTTCCTTGCAGCTAATAATGGAATCCGTCATTCACTGCATGCTTCTCATGGTCATTATCGGGTGCATTCACTTGACTGTGTAATATATTTCATAAAATTAACAAAGATTTATGGAATCATTGCTTCCAGTAAAAGGAACACCTCATTTGGAATCTAGCATAAGTGAAAATCTTAAAAAGGAGCTGAAAATATGTTAAGCGTCTCCCCCATGTGTCCTTTAGTAGAACAGCATTTCAAGCATCTCTTGCTGCTTTTCCTATATGTTTTTGATTTTGAACTCAATTTCTGTATACACAACAGCTGAGGTCAGTTTTTTTTAAGGAATACTTTTATTCAGCAAGGAAGCATTAAATTGATCAAAAGTGACAGTAAAGACATTTAAAATGTTTAAAGATTTCGATTTCAGATAAATGTTGTTCCTTTGAACGTTGTTCATCAGAGAATTCTGGGAAAAATCACACTTCCACACAAATATCAAGGAATGTGTGTGTGTAGATATATGTGTGTATATATACACTCAGATATACCGGTATATATAAATATATATATATATATATACATACACATTTTTTTCCAGTTGTACCTTATCACCCACACCGTGAAGCATCCATCCATTCTCTGAAACGTCTATGTGTAGGGCTGAGCGAATATGGGTTGAACTCTTTACTGCCCTAGTACTTCAGAAATCCCTTTAAAAGTATACATGTGAATTAAACGTGGCACAATGGCCTTTACCATCACAGTATGCTAATGCCTATCTAATGCAAGGGATTCATCAATATGCTGATTGAGGACTGTTGGGACACTCCAGGAACAGGATGGTCCTGAGACGGAGTCACTTACACCTCAATGTCACATCTGTACCATTGCTTCACAGGACACATCTGCTTTCAACTACATTATATTTATCTTCTAGTGTGTTCTAACATGTATCTGTCATGTTCTGTCACATGATCTCACAGCTAATCAACTGAACTGAAAGGTGGTCAACTTAATAGAGATATTAGAGTATCCTAATGTACAATTTAGGTACTTTTGCTTAAACATGCATTGAGGAGAAAATGTTAATGTACTTCTCCCTGTCTTGATCACCACTAATTAGCCATGTCTTTTGGTTTCCTCTATCAGTTGGTTTTGGTGTTGGTATTCCACTCGTGTTTAACAATGATTTACTCAGGGAATAAGAATGAAAGGTAACAGTTGGTCAGGGAGAAAGGATTTAACCCTGACACTCTGGCACAGGGTTTTGCGTAACCTCATTCTACAAGAAAGGCTTTTACGACCTCGTCTGCACAGCAGTGCACTATTTGTTACAGCTAGGTTTTTCTATAGAGTATGTTTCATTCTACCGTCTGTACATTGTAACATGTAACTTAATAAAAAACTTTGCCTGCTTTAAAGGCTTTGAGAATCTTTCCTTTTTCACTGATAATATTGAAATCTAAAGTGATTAACTTGCTTTATCTAAACGTTAAATCCTACTTTTCCCAATCAGTTCAAAGAATAAGAGGTTAAAGAATAACAACTTTAATGGAGTCAGATAAAAAACTGAATCTTTTTGTTCTGATAATTGGTTCAAAATAGCGGCGTAAGCTTCTAGCCTTACATGTGTACTAGGAGCATATGGCCCTCGAGGTCCCCTACTGTCCTGCAGTTTAGCTCCCATCTAATCAAACACACCAGAACAGCAACCAATCAGCTGCTTTATGTAGATAATGTGATCACTACCAAATGAGTTAAGGACCTATCATCCTGAGCCATCTGTTTCATGCCAGAACTTGGTTAATGTTTATATTATTTAAACATCTAGTCAGCCATGGGACAGCAGATGAAAATGATCTGTTTGGCTTAAAGTGGCACATTCACCAGTGTGTTGCCCTTGATAAATGAATAAAAACTTTTAATTCATTACATTTGTTCATTATACATAAATTCATGTAAAATATATACAAACACTATATATACAAAAAACATTTCAATAGGAGGGTTCTCTGAATTGAAAAGGATATACTAGTTTCTGAACATTACTATTAAAATGTTTACATTTTAAATCTAATTAAATTTGAAAGAAAGAAGCCAACATACACCCACATTGTCCTGTTGAAGTATCAATTTGATACACAATTTAAGGTCAAAAAGTAATCTAAAAGTAAGCAGATTATATTACCGTAAATGTGTAATGTAATGCATTACTTTACTAACTACAATTTGTAAGTAATATACCCAGCACTATATATATATATATATATATATTACATATTTAAACCCAGACATGATTTATTGAGAAAATAAGGTTTTATTTTTCAAAATAATCTTAAATTACATAAACATTTGCAATTGTCCAGGAACAATTACATGCAAAATCAAAAGTCAGTCCTTTGGAAGTGGAATCCCCACCACTGATTGGCTTTGTCCCTGCATTCCCTCTCGGGCTCTGTCCACTTGTTCCTGTGTGCAGTAGTCCTGCAGGAAGACAGAAGCCAGGTTCCTTAGACGTGGGTTCTGTGTTAGGGAGAAGCGCAGCATGCACTGCACCACTGCGCTGTCTGTGGTCTCAGCGCGCGAGGCAGCTGTGGTGAGGTTCATTAAAGTAGTGATGGCAGAGAGAACGGTCTCATCTCTATTACTTGACAGGCATGATATCACTAATGGGACTCCACCGCTTTGCAGGATCTGATCACGGGACTCGCGCTCCATGCTGAGGTTACATAAACCACCTGTATGATTTCAAACATTGTTGATTCATGTGAACAGATTGTAACAGCAAATAGATATATTACACTACAACATTAAAGCTACACCAACCAATTCCAAACTCCACAAAGTTGTCATTCTCTTCTGTCAGCATGTCCAGGAAGAGGTCAGTGACCTGGAGCATTCGCAGAGATTCCATGTTGGATGGATCATAGGCAAAGTTGGCCAGGTTTGCCAGCACTTGCTCTTTAGACTCTGCCAAGAATGAAAAGACAAGTGATGCAGTTTTCAGAAAACCTAATGCTTTTATTAGAAAAACAACTGTAAACAATTACTGCATGTACTGATTATAGTTTGTCAGTGAAGGAATACAGATTGCACAAACTGAATCAAGCACATATATACAGAGGTGGAAAGTAACGAATTACATTTACTCGCGTTATGTAATTGAGTAGTTTTTTTGTGTACTTCTACTTTAAGTAGTTTTTAAAATCTGTACTTTTACTTTTACTTAAGTACGTTTTGTTTGAAGTATTGTACTTCGCTACATTTGAAATCATATCCGTTACCAGAGGTGGAAAGAGTAATAAAATATTCTACTCAAGTAAAAGTACTACTACTTCAATTAAATTTTACTTAAGTACAAGTAAAAGTACCGGTCTAAAAATCTACTCAAGTAAAAGTAAAAAGTAGCTCATTTAAAATTTACTCAAAGTAAAAGTTACTGAGTAACTTTTTTAACAGCGGGGGTGGGGGACTCTCCCGTGTAGGGTTGTAATGGTACGAGATTTTCACAGTATGATAACGTCTCAGAAAATATCACGGTTTACAGTATTAATCAATTATTAAATTATGGGTATTATTATTATTATCATCAGTTAAAATGACAATTAAATTAAAGGGTCACTTCAGGATTTAGCATTAAGCTTTGTATCAGTAGAAAACCTGTAGTATTTTCGAAATACCGTGCTCCCCTCCTCATATCCCCCTGAGACGAGAGATTTATGTATTTTTAGTCTGGAAAAAATCCTCCGATGACGCAAAAATCGTCATTTTGCGTCATCGGAGGATTTTTTGGCCAGAGGCTAAAGACTACAGTCAGTAGTAGGGGCTTTCCCGCATGTTATCAACCCGCCCATAGAGGCTGGGATCTCACTCACAGAATGTACACATAGTGTCAGCCATCTTTGTTTGGAAGCTAAGCTAGCAGGCTCTTGTTCTGTGGAGAAAGCTGAGTAGTAGGGGTTTGCCATCCTCTTTTTCCCAGACGTCGAGATCGTCCAAAATGTCCGGGATTCAGCTTCTGCTTTCTGCAGTCGCCATTCATTGTTTACATGCACACCTTTTGTTTTAATCTAACTGAATTCATTCCGATTGGTGGATCTGAATGTAGTGTTTACATGTAGTGTCTCACAGGTGTCGCTCATCGGTATCACGCCACCGGCCTCGCGCCGTTCTCCCGCGGCCCTCACTCGTCCTGCTCGCCACAGTAAACATGATGAATG